TTTATGTGTGTGTGTGTGTGTGTGTGTGTGTGTGTGTGTGTTTTGTGCCCCTACTAAAAGGGTTTGTTTATGTGAATTTACCAGAACTAGAGTATGTAATATAAAATACTACACATAAAATAGCACTTGGTTTCCCTATAATTCAACTACAATAATTCAGAAATTTTACATTACATTACATTACAGTACATTACATTAAAAAAAGTACTGAGCTTGGTCAATTATTTTCAGTTAATTTAATTTAGTGGTAGTTTGAGGAGCAGATTTTAGAATCAGCATTGCACACACAAAAAGAACAAATGTTAGCACTTTTCAATTGATCAGTTGATCCCCACTTGAAAAGCACAGACTGCCACTGCTCTGTTTGTGGCCAAGAAATGTTTTCTTGTCCATATGCATTTAAATTGTAAAGTTTTACTCTTTCAGATTGAAGATGTCCTCCACTCCGCTGGCCGAGGCAGAAGAGGATGTGTTTGGTGAGTGACCTCTCCCGTCTGCCCATCCCCTCCCCCCTCCATTAATGTCCAGATCTTCATTTCCACACTCCCAATGCACTAAGCGCATTACAGGAGAGAGCAGCTACAGTCTGGCCTCTAAAAGCACCAGGGGCTATGATTCTCTCTGAGCATGTGCACTGGTTGGTTTTAGAGTCGTAAATATTTTATTAAACATTTTTGTGAATTTTTAGATGCCATCTATATCATGGTTGGGGAATGATGGTAGATGTAATGGGCACATTTAAGAGTTTGGCTTCACAGGATTTTTGTACAGGCTTTGAAGGTGCAGCTTGCTGAGTCAGTGTCTACGTCACCACAGGAATTAGTGCTGAAAACAAGTTGGGAGAAGAAAGGTTGCATTGGAATAGAGTAGAACCGTGTGACAGGGTTTAAAATACAAAATTTTTATAAGCATGTTCCCACTCCCCATAAGCAGCCTACAACAGAGAATGCATTAGTGCCCACTTTTCTGTGGCGTTGATTCCGGAAGTATTTTTTCCATTTATTTTTCCTATAGGGATTTATTTTTAAAAGTCTTTGTTAAAGCATTATAAGCCATGAACCAAGCCAACCAGCTACGAAGTGAATCACACCATTACATATTTTATTTGAAGCAAAACAATATTTGAAAATATGACAAAAAAAACCAAGGTACAAGATTGTGAAGGGATAGTTCACCCAAAATGAATTTCTTTAATCTTTTTTACTCTTGTCATTCTTTCATCATTTACTCACCCTCAAGTTGTTGAAACCAGTATTTTTTTTTGACATTTTGAAGAATGCCAAACAGTTGACGGCCATTGACTTAAAGGGGTGGTTCACTGGTTTTTTTCTAGGCTTAATTGTGTTTATGGGGTGCAGTCTAACATGTGTTAATGCTTAGTTTAAAAAATTGTTGCTAATATCGCTTATCTGAACTTGTGCAAGCACGGCTTTTGATGGTAGGCCTATGTTTTTTGTTTGTTGTTGTCTCATACTTTTAGATACGCTGTTATTTGTAAATG